CCCTGCTCATAAACTAATTCCAGTCACCCTAAGTGACTAGTCCAGATGTGGGGACCCTTATCACTCAGCTGCCAATTCTGGAGCTACTCTGTGGGCCAGGTAGGTGCCTGCCGCCTCAGCAATGTTAACTTCTATTTTGTTTTTACTACATCCTTACTGGAACTGACCCAAAGCATCTGTCTCCTGTACCAAACTACAGATTACCAGTAGAAATAGAATTATGAGCAATACAGGTTTGCATTAAAAATGTATCTCTCTTTCATATACAGTATCTACCACCTGTCAAAGGCAGTGAACAATTTTCCCTTTGTAAAAGTGGCTGCAACTCTTGTCATTACCCCACAGGGTGCTGGAAAAACAATAGCACAAACTGCTGAAAAATTGCTTGAGATGAATGCAGCCTCTTAGTTAAACCACACTGCTCCTTTATTTACTGATGCAGAACAGACATAATAGGGCACCGCTTCTTAAAATGGAGACACACATGATTGCAAAGGCATCACAAACTCTCATCTTGCTCTAATTACAGAGGAAGATAAATTGAAAGTGAGGAAAAAAATTCCTTCGTGATTTTCCAAGTATTCACTTATAACACAAGATGCTGTGTTTGTTGGGAAATGTAAAATCTTTAATTTTAGAACAGCTGATGTAACTGGGAAGATGTAACAGGCTCCTGGGACTACAAGCAAAGGAGTACCAAACTTCAAAGTGGATATAAGTAAGAAACAATGACTAATAATATAACCTAGCTATGTTCATCAGTTGAACTCAAGAGAACTTAAAGGGAAACAGCACTAGAGAAGCAGGAGAGGCAACAGGGAGTTTGTTTAATTATTTACAGGTACTTATGAACCCCATGCCTCTCCCCAGTATGACACCTAGCTTTTATTGTAATGTATTGGTAAAAAATTAAAGTCTCATTTAAATCCCTAAGGAGTTACAAAGTGCTCCCTCTTCTTCCCAATTTCACCAGAGGGAAAGCTGAAAAAATAATCCAAATGTCCCAATTTAGCTTGACCTCTACTCCAACAATAGCTGAAGGCAGCAGACAGATCCTTAGGCTGGCTCCGGAGCCTTTCACCTGCCTGGCAGGAGAGTGCTGCAAGACATGAATGCCATTTAAACAGCACTGCATATAGAGTGGACAAAATTTCCTTCTTGAACAATGTGATGAGTGCTGGTACACATGAGAAAGCCACTGCCTCACAGGAGCTCTGTGCTAACACTGTGAGGACACAACATGGCATCTGTTAGACACCCAAGTGCTTCCTGAGGCACATCAAAACTGCTGTGCTAGCACATCCTTACCTTCCATGTAAATAAGCTGCAGTTTACAGGAATTACTCTTAAACCGTTCCTAAAAACAGGTAGAAAGTGTAATTAACACATAACACGTTGGTACAGTTAGACTAAAGCTGTGAACATACAAGCAGGGCCACAGAGGTTGTTCATTTAAATAACGTTAAGATAAAAAATACTCAAGTCATTTGGAAGCTAAAGCAGCATAGCACTCATCCTTCATCACTTTTCATGGGTATAGTGCAGTGAACCAGCCCTCCTCCTCCTCAGTGAGCCTGCTCCCTCACCACACTGCTTTAGTGCATACCATCTGCAGTGCCCAGAGACCAAAACCAGGATGGGATTTTTTTTTCCTCTAACTTTGAGCCTGTAAGAATAAGATGCAACATCTGTGCTAGACATCATATATTTTTATAGTCAAATGAATGGAGAAAGCACTGCCAAAGGATGAGTCAACCAACCTGTTTTAGATGCATATCCTAGAATGAGATGACTTGCCCGCAGGATATTATTATGCTACTCTCTTTGAAGCCAAAGTGATCATGTCAAACATCTGCACCCAAGGATTTGATACGTTATGCCAGAGCAGACGAATGCTAAGGTGTTGTCTAAGAGGCAGTCCCTAGGAAAACATCAGGAAAAAGCATACAGAAATGAAGTGACTTGCCCAAAATGATGCAGCATGGTCAAGACTGACATGGTAGTTGGCAGGAAGAAATGGAAAGGAATCTAGAACGTTACAGGATCAATAATGCCAAAGAGAAGTCTTTTCCACTGACTTCAGGTCAGGCCCTGAGTGTTTACAGGAAAATCATCAGATCAACAGTAAGAATAAACAGTAAGAATACGTACAAATTCTGCCTCTTTCTTCCATCATATACATTCAGCTTGCGTGAAAGAAACTTAAGAAGTTGGAAAATTATACGGACACTCTCCTTCAACTGTTTCTTTGTGGGTTTTTTTTATGTTTTGCAAGAGACCACTGTATAAAAATGAGGTAAGTGGCTATTCCTTTGCCATAGTTTTACCTGAGCTTTCATTCACTGTAACTACCTGACAACCACCACACAGCACTTTTTAATATTATGCAATGCACTTTTCAATTAAGCAGGAGGCTGCATCTCTCTGCTCAGTATCCCTGGTGGTTTTAAATAAGCTTTTCACTTGTTCCATCTCCAACGCTTGTTTGCACAACAGTAATTTTTCCAGATGAGAGAGAACCCAGTGATCATAAAGAATGAATTATTTACAGAAAGATCAGTACCCCAGTTCATATTAAGACTTCACTAATTGTAGTTAATTGAAAGTACCACACTGAACATGTGCACAATGCTCTTCAGGTTCATAAAAGCCTTAAGTGCCTTTAAATACTACTGAAAAAAAAAGAAAAGGCTCAGAGGATCGGTAGCAGGAAACAATACCTTGCACTTTTAGAGCATAAATAAAGCACTGACTCAAATAAAGTCAAAGTTCATCAAGGCTAAAACACATAATTTGCTAACCAGTTGATGGGGACAGGTAATCCCCTTTTCTAATGGGCTATGGTACCATAAGCCCTCAACGCAGCCAGAAGCCCCAGTTATAACTATGCAGATCAGACTGAACTTCTCGCTGCAATTTAGCCTACCTATGCTCTGTCTCCATGCAGTCCCACCACTGACGCAATGCTGTTGACCTACATCTTTACAGTGCTTTTCAATAGATTTTCAAAGCATTTTACAAGCCAGTAAGAAAAGAACAGAACAGAGGAACCAACTTCACAAGACTCATCAAGCAACCAGCAGCAAAGCTCAAGACCAGTTTAGGTCCAGGTTCATTGTTCTATTCAATACACTTGCAGTTTCACGAAACATGGTGAGCCAATCTGACACATCATTGCATTCAAGAAAACGGGGGTGAGAAGAGTTTTCTGCAAGGTTAGCATGTTAAGTCATCTCACAGAAGTGTCCTGTGATCACCAGAGCCTGCTCCAGGGACAAAGCAGTACCACAACCCCTTCAGCAACAGCAAGCTATTAGAGCAGCAAACTATTACCCTCACCAGGCTCCAGAAATCTGCCTTGATGCATTAGGTTTAGAGAGAGCACTTCTTAAGAAATCACACTTTGCAGAAGTGCACTAGTAACTGGTGGTGTTTAAGTGTCTGGAGGCAGAATAGATACCTGCTGGCCCTTCTGGCTTTAAGTCTTGGGTTCAATTCCTTCCTCTGTCCAAGAGGATTCAAACCCAATGCCTGTGCTCCTTCTCAGGTGAGCGCCCAAAGCAGCAGGTTAGGGAATCAATTTTCAACTTGCCGTTCACAGACCCTTGTGTTTATTCATTAACTATTTACAAGGAATCCATAACCATAACTGAAAAGGCAAGCTTACTTGCTAACAAGCTTAAATTAGCCCAACAGTAGTCAGCAAGACAGAAGAAAAGGGGCCAACAACTCACATTTACATTTGTTCTCTGACACATCTCATCTTGAATTTTTTTCCGCCCAATGACTGTAAAAACTCACATGTCTGTACTGTGATAGGCAGGTCAGTCTTCCAAAAAGTTGAAGAACAGAGGAACTCAGCTCCGGGACATCTGAACATTCTGTATTAGTTTTCTTACTATCGATTTTTTTTTTTTTCCCCCCCCCAATAATGAAGAGTGAACATGAGCACATTTCCTCATTTGTTTTCAAAGTGAGTCTTGTTTGCTTTTTGAAAGAAGTTTTCTCCCCCCAAAAAATAGGTGCCCATGCCTTATGTCAGAAGTGTGGACCAAAAATGCCACCTCTTGCTAACTCTGAGATATCTCAATCCCTGGCTAAAACTGGCTGCAGGCGACAGAGTAACACATCGTTATGCCACATGCCCAGCATTCCCTATTTTGTAGCACCAAGTGAGCATGTCAGTGTTTCAGCCCACACTTGCTCAATGCACTAAACGTGTAAATATTCCTCTGAAGCCTGACTCCAGCCACGTTGTCCCCATGGTTCTGGATCCTGCCGTACAGGCCAAAAACTCAACTAGCCAGCAATGCAGTGACAAACTTGAAACAGATTTAAACATATACAAGCTGATGTAATACTGGAACAAGCTGAAACAGTACACGTTATATTAGATTACCCATTTCTTTCTTAGTGAGAGGATTGAGCAAAGTAAGCTTCAATGTGTTTCTCCTGAGAGCTGAGCTTTAAGTTCAAAAGCATTCAGAATCAGGCTTGAGTCATGAAGTCCCATTTTGTTTAATTTCTAATTTATGCTGAACAAATAATTGTTTGGTCTCAATCCCTCTATGCCAGTTAAAACCAAATTGATGTGTCTTGTAAAATTCTTATCGGGCTACACAAACTATTACAGAATCTCTGCTGACAGATATCAGCTAAATATCAGCACAGACAAAATAAGTAGAATTTCCTGCTCTGTTTAGATTTAAACCATAGAAGAACAAACAGCATGTCCACCACAAAACAACATGTACCCATAATAGAGTAGTTAAGCCCTGGAACAGGTTGCCAGTGACGTTAAGGAACACATTCACAGAAACTTGACTGCTCGTGAGCAACCAGATCTGACCTTGAAGTGAGCCCTGCACTGAGCAGGAGTCTGGACCAGAAGTCTCCAGAGGGCCCTTCCAACTATGATTCCATGTACGTTGACATATAAATGGAAAGCTAACCTTGTGAAATAAAATGGACAAGTATGTAAATCATGACTACCACAAACATTCATAAAGATGTTAACAGCTTTTATTTCACTGGTGCAAGGCCCGTGTGTCATCCACCACTCACCAACATCAAAACAAAACATCATCTTCTATAAAACAGTTTCAGAAAATTCAAAACGAAGTAGCAGTGGCTATAATAAACTTCATACAATATTGTAAATCACTTAGTTTGTGTCATCCAAACAACAAATCAGTTTCTAGCATACATGGCTTTTTTTTTTTTGCCAAAAAAAATACCAGCACAACTCCAATACATGCCTCACACCTGGAAATGCGTAACATCACTCCATGACATTGATAGCTGTTCGTGCTTAGAACTAGTCATCAATTCACCCTACCAATATCATAAAATACAAAATGATATGAAAAACCTACATTTACAAAGTACAGTCCCAATCCTGCAATCTAATCCATTTGGGCAGGTACCTGCATCCATTCCAACTCCCCTGAAGGCAATGTGGTATTTAGTGCTCATTGCTAAAGATTTGATTGCAGAATCAGGGCAAAAGTGGGAAAGGTTTAAATCTTTCCACAAGCAGTAAAGCACTGCCTTATTCTTCTAGATTCAGTTTCAGTAGTATTTGCACAACCTCCTAAACCGAGACTTACCTATTTTCAATTACCTCACATTTAGGAAGAAAGAAGGATAGGCTTTAAAGTAGTCAGCAGAGAAATGGCTTTTACTGAAATGACTTGGGGCTGTAAGTTGTGCTTTAGTGCACGGTGGTGATCCAAATGCTTCCAAGAGACAACCACATCTTGCTTCAGTATTTACAGTATCTGCTGCCTTCCTCTGCATTACATGAGTTTCTTCACCAGCAAGATATCGGAGATCGTTTTCATTAGACGAGCGTTATGACATGACTCCAAAAACAGGATTATGACGACAAATACTAGGGCCATACTCTTCATAGTCTTTCTTGGTGTGACATACTTGGAAAAACTCTGGCTATGAAAATATAAAACAAATCCTCTCAAAAGCATAAGAATATATCAAGCAGAAAAAACGACAAATAAACTAATGCCTTAACATTTTTGTAGACTGCAGCTTTATGACATGGCATTACATTTTTAAAACAGAATAAAACTAGAAATATTAGGATATGAATACAATTAATCAAGAAAAGTTTATCTGGACAGAAGACTGCTTTTAAACACAGCAATAAGCAATCCCACTTTGGAGACAGGAATTGCTCCCATTTTCCTGTATTTGCTTCTCTCTCGGGTTTAAGACCATTGATGTGGATCCTGTATTCCTGAAGCCCTAACTAACCTCTAGTGTCGACTTCAAGAATAAAGGGACTATATTGCCACTATCACATAAAAACTACTTCAGAATTATGTCAAATCATTATACCCTTACTCAAGTAAAGCTCCCACTTGCCCTGTATAAATTTTACTGAGATAAAAATTGTGTAAGGATTGCAGAATGTGACACAGTTTAGGCTGTCACAATGAAAAGGCTTAAAACTTAGTGCTCAGATCAAATATAGCCAGAAGACAATATGCAACAAAAAAAAAATTCAGAACAATTTTGATAAAGACTTACTGTTGAAGCCAGCATGGAACCGCCGAACCAAACTGCATAACGCTGCATGTGATGTGTTATCACTTGAACTTCAACTGGTTTGGGCTAAGAAAAACAGTTTGTATTTAGTTGGTTTACATTTTCTGGCAAGATCCTTACAAACTGAAAATGCTCAGACCCAGACATCTTCAGCCCTCCATTCACATCCCTATCTCACACTTATTAGTCAGTCTGCCACGTTCCCTAGGAGACCAAGTCATAAAACTCTTCACGATTAGTATGCTGAAGGACACAACAGTTAAATCCCTCTTGCCTACTGCTAAGATCACATATCTCCTAGAAGGGAAACCAGAAATGCCCTGAGAGACTGCTCACAGTAACTTTAAGGTTCCTGTAAAGACATGTCATACATTGCAAGGCTACCAACATGTTTAGCAACACATACATATATACTACTCATTTTACAACACTGCATTTTCACTAGTGAGGTGAAAATTCCGAACTTTATTTCTTTCACTTCTCATGTAATCAACGCACTTGAAGTTCTTTCTTACTTTTATCCGACCACCACTGAGTTCCTCGCTAAGCCGCAATCTTGCATCCACTACTCTCTTCAAATCCCTTTGCAGTCGTCGTCCAAAGTCCCTGAACATCGTGGATCCTCCTGACAGAACCACATTCTGTGCAGAAATTAAAGACACATTCTTTAAATCCATCTTCAAGCGAGTTTTGCCAAAAGCCAACACTGCAGAGGTGACTATTTGGATCTTAACATCATTAGGAAGCTGACAAGCTACACAGAACACCTTACGCATTGCTTAACTTCCATAGGAAGTCCATGGTCCCCTACTTTCTTTTTTTCCCCTTTAAAGAAGAGTTTTATGTAAAATATGTTATTACAAAAGAGAAGGATTCCATTAAAATGGTGAGCTAATACCCTACATGTGCAGAGCAGCAGAAATAAGACACTACATCAAAAAGTTTCCCAGGGATGCTCATAGTAAGCAGTTTCAGCCCTGATACCAAATAAGGCTCTAGCCTCATAATATTACTGTTAGTGTCTTTCCAAAAGCTGTAAAGTTATCTAGAACTCAATTTTTTTTTTTTATTTTAAGAGTTAAACTTCTAAACATAGCAACCAGCAAGTCCAATGATTCTTCAAAAAGGTACCACACCTCCAAAGAGGACTGCAGTACAGAGAAAGGTACAATGCCTTTCACTTTTCTTATCTATACCTGCTTGCTTAGTAGTACTTAGTTTTCAGAGCAGAACCAAAAGGCTCTTAGCCTGGACTTGTACTTGGATTCTAAATAGGAGTTTTAGAACGTCACATCCTTAATTCTGATAACGTTGCAGGGTCATAGACTAATGCAGAAGTCATTTCAAAAGTGGGAGGATTCAAAGCAGGAGCCCTATAACATAACATTGGTGGCAGCAAAAATGCATTTCATAATCAGAAAAATGAACTCTATATGACAAAACTGCGTGCGTGCCCTTGCATACTGCTGCAACTGCAAACCAAAGTGCCAATTAGTGCTTACTAAAACCACTTATATGCCTTAGACATGTGTCCACAGGGAACTCAACTGAGATCAAGAGTTCGTTATACACAGGTCAAAGTATTATCTCTCAGTAATAGTTTTTGACACTGCAGACCAAGACTGTGCATGTAATGAAAGAATCCCTGAACCACTGCTTTCAGCCAGGAAGCCTGCACACAGATCTGAAGAGTCAAAGACATGCATAATAAGCATTCACATTTGCAGGGTGCAGAAGTAACTGCTTGGATTTTAAGCAACAGATAACAAGGAAAATCTTGTTTGTAACTTGTAAAGTGAGAAGAAAGCTGTTTGTTTATTCATGAAAAAAAAATCTCTGCACATTGTAAAAAGCTACTACAGTAGGAAAAACTCATTTCTTCACAGCTTCAGATTATCTACAGTATAAAAGAGTGCATAACAAGGCAGGTGTACTTAAAAGAAAAGCACACATCCCCATAACATTACTGAAACATTTCCCGAAAGAAAGAGGACAACAGAGAAGAGGAAAGGAGACATACGTATAAGCAGGAGCCAGAAACCACAGTTGGTCCTAAAATTGAAGCAGGAGGGAGATTCCCCCTGCTCCCCCACACACTCCCCTGCCTCAAAGTGGTCACATGTTCCACATGGGAAAAGAAAATTGCTAATGGGGAAAAAAAAGGCAACAACCAACCTGAGTGATGAAATAGTAATTAAAAAGATGCTATCAGAAAATATAACCTGGAGATAATGAAGTTGGCAGTTGAAGACAGTGAAAGCAATAATTCTATTCAAAGCAAATTAAACTTCAAGTATACTCCATAAAGTGGACATTGCTACCTCCAAAAATAGATTTCAGAATACACCTGAGAATAATTGTTTGAATACATCCGAGACCAACTCATGCAACTACAGAGTTAGCAGTAACACTGGGAGGATCTTTTATCATTCCAGGATTAGAAGCTTCCTCAGATTATGATTACTCAAGTACTTCTACACACTGAAAGAAGTTTAACAATAATACTGGTCAAGAACAGAAGCACTAGGGTATACTTGCTGAAAAGGCGAGTCATCTCATTATCACATATCTGGACAAGCCAGGCTAAGCAGAATATTGAATATAAGTAACTAGGTGACACCAACTGCCTTTATAAGATAGTTAATTATACAGTCACAGTTCCCCTGCTCCCTGTGCTTCTTGTCAGCACTGGGCCAAATCTGTGCTAACTGTTTAGCAGAAGACTGCTCACATACGGGCTTCAGTAAGTTATCACAACTCAGCAGGTCAGTCTTCTGCAAGGAGGTCAGAAGCCTCACTCACAATGAAAGCAGAATCCAACCCCTCACACACCACACCCACCACTTACAAAGGACCCAATGAAGGTGGGAAAAGACTGTCAGGGGGAAAAAAACAACCAAACAAACCCAAAAAACAACCATGAAACCACGCCCCACAGCAAACACCTTCTCTAGAATAACTGAGTGTAACACAATACAGTAATTCCAGTAACTACTTAACAAAAAACATAATAACAATGAAGCATGCTAAATACATCCGTGAAGAAACCTTCTCTGTTTGGGTTTTCAGCCTGCCTGAGAATTCTCTAGCCTCTCAGAAAAAGTCATAAAGGCAGTTAGGATTTAAGTATCTGTTTCCAGCTGATTCCTTTAAACAAGACCACTTCTGATCTCACTCTGCTCAAATGCACTTCAGCTGGTTTAACAGCTCTAAGCAGACCACAGGTTTCACAGCTAACACTGATTATCATACCATCTGACAGAAAGAAGCTCCCACTGATTTTTACTTTTACAGCTAACTGGTTGAAAATTTGTTTCAGAAGAATGTATTCCCTTAGAAGAGAGGGATGAAGACCTTCCACACACCTGAAAAAGCTAACCACAACAAGTAAATAATGAAAGTAGGCCATTTCTGGAAGGAAACCAGGGGGTGAACACCAATCACCTCAGAGGGCTGGAAAGAAATTTCTCACTTCTCATTCACACCCTTTGCTTCTCTTATGAACTCTAGGATATTGAGTTCCTCTCCATACCATTTCTGGTATTATGCCTGTACAGTACACTGCTGCAGAGATATGAGGCTACCTAACAAAACCACCCAGTAAGAGATATGTCTATCTAAATAAAGTTTACATTGAAATTCCAAGAAGTTAAATTAGCTTCTGCAGAAGTCAATGCTACCAAACACAAGGTGCTGAACTGGTTTGTGCACCTTTACACTGCACCTTGTAACGTGGTATAAGCGCACTCTCAGCTGGACACTTCAGGCTTTGCAGCACCAAACTGAGAAGCATCCACTGCTTTTCTGGTAAATACAAACTTCAACAACATATCCCAGTTTCCCTTCCTCCCAAATAACCTAAATTAAAGTTGTTTAACATGACACAACCACACCACCAGAGACATGTAATGAGAGCATTAACATGACTGTTAATAAAAATTATTATGGGTAAAAACTGGAAGGTTCACAAGCTGAAGCCAAGCACTTCATGAGCAAGTGAATCAGTTAAGCTACATGCCCTGTTAATTTAGTTAGGGCAATATTTGCCAATATTTTATGGAAAGTATACGGAGAAATATTATACATATCAAACAACAAATATATTACAAAGAAGTAAATGTATTGTGAGAAACACTATTTTTTAAATACGTTTGACTTCTGATGATGAAGAAACAATTTCTGTTTCTTTAAAATCATGATTTGCAATGTTCATTTAACAGTTCGAGTAATAGCAAAAGACTTCAGCATGACTTACGGTCGTGCTGTTCTGCAGAAATACGCCTGCACTCAGACACAAAAGTAACCACTAAATACTGCAGATGTATTGAGCTACTGTTAAACCAGCTAGCACAGGTAACATTATAAATTTAATTACAGCTGTGATAGGAATAAACAAGGCTTCTCCTCAGTACTCCTGTGCCATGCTCACAGTGTTAATTTTGCAGCTTCCACGTGAGGTAGCAGGAATACCTGTCCTTTCCCATGTCTTATCATCGGTGCCAATATGATGCAGATCTCATGGCCTGGCAGTCTCTCCAGCCTTACGTCACCCACTGAGCCTCCCCGCTCTGCACTTAGTAATTAATAGCACACATTGCCATCTTGCTGAAGCACAGATAAGCAGAAGCCAGTTGAACCCTATCCAGTCTTGTGCCTGAGGATACCTACAATTTTGAAGGGGAAAGGCAAGAATACGGCTGATAGAGCAAATAAGCTGGGCACCATCACAGACTGTATTTCTCCCTGCAGCTCGCAGATGTCCAGCCGGACGCCGCACAGCAGTCTGACAGCGCCATCTACACACCACGCAGCGCATGTGAAGCTGTTTTTGCACAAAGTATTAACCGGCAATTCAAGTTAGAAGTGATGTTAGGGGGATATTTACCACTCCTCTAGCCTCCCACACGCCTCTACAGGCTTTGAGGATGGTTCGTTACGAGCTGGGCAGTCAACAGCTTAACCTTACGAGAGAACGTGGATACAAGAAGTTAGTCCAAATCTTAATTGTATTAGCAAGCTCAAGTTCACTATTGACCACAATAGTTGCGCACCCAGCTAAAAAGTCATTTTCTCTAAGGAAAAGAGCCAGTATCATTAAAATTCTGTCTCCATGCACTTGCATTTCCACAGAAAATCTGGATGATTTATCTACAATAAAATACCACACTTGCCAACACATTACAGTCCCCATCTCATGCAATGTTTCCAGCTTGAGAAACTAGCTTAAATGTTTGAGGTCAAGAATGTTACAACTTGATCCATCATAATTTGAATCATGAATATTTAAACATGCTTGGTTAGGATCTTTCAGAGGTATTTCTGACAGAATTTACCTGGTTTCAGATGTCACTTATCTTAAATTCTTTCATCCGTATAATTGTGCCAAAACTACAGCAGAGAAAAGTTGAAAGAAATCAATTGTTAGGACAGCCAATGACCCTACACTTACATCCTTTCTACTGGGAGAAGGCACAGACCTCAGAACTGCCAATACTTTTCTCATCTCCTGTTACCATCTAAACTCTGGAAGTGTCTGGGGAAAGACTCTAGTTGGGGAAAAAGAAAGAGGAAGGAGAATGTGGAGTAAGAGTGACAGTTTCTGAACCTGTTACCAACAAAAAAAATACCATTTATTAGAATATCAAGCAGTTTTTAGAACTTCTGAAAGCCCTTTGTCCACTTTTAAAGTTATTACAACTATATTCACTAGCTGACTGTTAAACTCAGCTACTCTTTTTTGACACTTAAGTGTCAAAACTCATGTCCTAACTGACAAAAGTTAGGACAAGTGTCAGAGCATTTCCAGGTTGAAAACAGATTTTTAAATAGCAACTAGTATTGAAAACGTCCAACACTAGCATCTCTTGTGGCCATACCACAGAGAAGATGTTTCCCATTGATTCAAGCTGGGTGTGCATTAGTTACACTGTGTTTAATAGTATGCTCATAGTAACCTGAAAGCTGGGAAAAGGACCACATTTTTCTGCAGACCATAGTCCCCATCACGCTACCACTCCCTCCCTCTAGTTTCTCTGCATTTCTGTGATACCAGTTATACTATATATTTATATAAATATGAGATAAGTATAAGGAAAGGTTGTGGAACAATCTTTTAAGAAAAAAGGAAGCTAAAGAATTCTCAAAAAAATGGAATAGACAAACTACACACCATTCTTCTCAAAGAATGCCAAGTGTGATGCAATGCCTCACTGAGCCCCATAAAAGCATGATCGCATTTCTAGCTGCATGCAGGATGGGTCATTTTTCAATGGAGTTCCACACACAGGAACGATCAACATAGCAAGGATGCCAGATTATTTCAGCCATGTGGTAAGATCCGAAATTACTCCTCCATCATTTCACCTGAGCACTCACTTTAAATTTCATATCACTTTCCGAAGATTTGGGTTTGTTAAAAAAAAATACAAAATAAAAAAATCCACCTTATTTCTTCAAATTTTAATGCAAGTCCTCTGGTTCCAAACCCAGCAGCCTACTTATCTTCTTCCATTTTAGCAGAAAGCAGCTCATCCCAAGCAATCCAGAACTCTCAGCTCTGTGTTAGAGACACAGAGAGAGACAGAATAAGAACATAAATCAATTCTTCCAAGCAATCACATTAAGACAGTGTAATCATGGGAATTGGGAAGAAGAACAAAAAAGGTGCATTGCTGGCAACAATTATACAATTAAAAAGGCTTCATCACATGTGAAAGAATGTTTGTGGTTGGTATTGAACAGCTACAGGCTATGGGATCTGGCTGAAGAACAATAATCTTATGAAGGTCCTGCTGGTCCAAACATCAACATAAGGTAAGATAACTGGCCTCGTAAGAGAGATTTGATCAGATTCGGAAACAGGGATACTGGCAATAAAACTAAAAAAGAGAAATACCATAGGACATCAAAAGATGGATTGTGAAACAATGCTTCAAAGGCTACATACCACATATAATCTGCAAGAAGGATACTTGCAGGTATTTTCTACACGAACACTGAGGAAGAATCCAAATACATTTGATGGAAACCCAGCTCCAAAGCACAGGGCCTTGGCTGCCCACCACGCAGCGCTGTGGGTAAGTGAAACTGATAAACCACAGAAACTAAGAGAAAGTGTGAGTGGATTTCTGTACCTATACACTGTTTTAAACAATGAGAACAGAGATGCTCATCCCTTTGCAGAGACCTTGCTTAAAGAAGATAGCAACTATTAGCATTAATAACTACTGACATCTATCATTACATTCAATAGGTAATTGTATAACATTGTTTTAATTAAGTATAATGAAAAACAGGAAATGGAAAAACAAAGTCTCAATCAGTGGCAAGCCAAGGGAAAGTTATTTGCCTGCTGATTACAGTGAGGAAAGAGTAACTTAACCTCAATTTTTAAATACCACTTTCCAGAAGTCAGTACTAATCCCCACCCTACCAAGTGATGAAGCTATTGCTCTATGGCAACTTCGGTCTTTCAGGAAAAAAAGCACGGACCCTAAGCACAACCAGACACTAAGAGTTTCCTAAAACCTTCTGCAACGTACCTAAGCTTGAAGTCTTTGAAGACATCTACTGCAAAATTCACTCCCCATATGAGCTTGTTTAGCTGTTTAACTTCCCGTTTTAAACTGCTTCACAGATTCGCTCTGAAGCACTATGTCTCTCTAGATTAGAGTATGTTTACTAGGCAAGTAAAACAGATTGCAAAATTTTAATAGTTACCCTGAGATATGACTTAGTTAGAACTTAATGCTCATTCTAACGGGTGAAGAAAACTACCACTTTTTCATGAGCAAGCAAACGTCTCCATGCTATTACTTTATGCTGTTATTTCCAAAAGGGCACTGCTGCTGCACAAACAGAAAACAAACAGGAAGCATAGGATGTGCTGCCAATATAAAGAGAGCTTGCCATAGGCTATGCCTGTCAGTACCTTCCTTTTCATTTCTTAAAGAAACAGTGACTGAAAGTACTCTCTGGACAATACCCTGGACAAGTTTAAGCAGGCACAATTATTGTCTCCTAAAAGATTTTAAGTCTTTCTGTATTTTAATACTGGGTTCGATACCTGGCTAAAACTGCAGACAGTGGGCAGATACAAGTTAAGACTATGAAAAAAATCTATGTATTTGAAACCACTGCTTAATAACACAGGGGGTGGAGGAGGGGGTGAGAGAGACGAGACCATGATGTAACCCTTAAAATGGGCAAAAGCCAAAGGCTTTCATGCACAAGAATTCTCATTACAAGTGTCAGATACAAATAACATCCCTCTGCCTCAGCTCCCTGGGGACAATACTTACCTGTGTATCAAACTAGTGCTACAGATAACCCTTCTTTCAGAAATAAAAAGCAACAAATATCAAGTACTCTTCATTCAGAAGTGGCACTTTGTTTTAACTTTATCTGTATTCAAAGTTCACATTTCACATAGTGGGGGAAGTGGTAGCTATGTATATGCTTCATGATGATGTTGATATTTAGTCTTCAAATGAATTAAGTTAATCTTGCAACAGAAAAACCATACCTTATATAATGGACGCCGGACGTCAATGGGACAGTTCTGTATAACTTCATCAACTACATCCGAAATGGATTCCATAAAATCAGGATTAGCAAACTACAATGAAACAGAACAGACATTAGATATTTTCTCCCAAGAACAGAGAAACAAGAAGGCAGAAGTGAGACTGTACAGAGATTTTTTAATAGCACTTTTAAAGGGGGCGAGTGGTAATCAAAATCACTATTACTCCTGCTCACCAATTATTCTCCGTTATAATAAATCCACTTCTGTATAAGGGAAACGAGAAACCCTTTTTCTGCAGAGAAATTCATAGTCTCTTCCTTAGTCATAAATTCACTATTTAAAATTTACGTACTATGGGCCTACTATTGCATGTGACGTGAGTTTGAGTTCTTCTGCAATATTAAAGATACTATTACTGTATAATGTGGTCATGCCCTTCCTTTTAAATGAAATTTAAAAAGTCAGTGTGCAAATCAGAATGTTCCCTTGCAAAAAGTTTTCAACCCTACTACAATACTTATTAAATTCCCACCAAAAAGTCGTTTTTTTTTTTTTTTTTTTTTGGTACAAGCACACAAAATCTATGCTCAAAAAGGCATCAATACTCTTAAGGTCTTGAGTGGAAATCCCCATCAAAGCAAACATTAATACAGTGCTAATGTAAATTTCTGCATTTATAAGTACTAGAGAGTCAGAGTTGCTAATGCTAGAAAACATTCTTGGACTAATGGCAATTTTCCACCTAAAACTTAACACAAGCTTTTAAAAAACAAACAAACAAAACAGTTCATAGCCTAGGTTTTGCCCTTTCACAGATTAAACTTTGAGAAAGTACATGAATTATAAATAAATACATAATAATATGTTATTATAGATTATATTATTACATAACTTCAAAACTTTCCCAAAGGTGCAGAAACTATTTGGGATTTACATCCTAAACAAGATGAAGTATCTAACTGGATGAGTAACAAAAGCCAAAACACAAGTACACATTGAACTGGAAGAGAAATTAGCAAAGGAAGTTGGCTTGGAGATCAGGAGCCACAAGAATGATGTGAAAAATCCCCAAGAATTCAAGCTAATTTCCATAGTAAGAATTAATCATGCAAGAAGCTAAAATATGAAGCCACATAAATTAAAAGAGAAGAAAGAAGTGGTGTTGCTTCACATGGAGAGTTCTCATCTGAATGAACTACAGCCTGAAATCTTCTCCCAAGCTCTCCATAAAGATACTGATAACACAGCAGGGCAAAAGGAATAGGTAGAAATAGAGTTATGGCATCCAAAGCAGAGTATAACACGCTCCCAGAAAGGGGACTAGAGAACGGGCATGTGAAATTGCAGTCCACTAGCAAATACCATATGGCTGGAGAACAGCAAGTAATACACCTAATTTAAAAAGCGGAGAGAGAATCTGGAGAATACAAACCCCAAAGCCTAACTTGAAGAGTATTAAAGACTTCAGAACAAATTTTGTAAGAAGGAGATAAACTGAAAATAGGAAAAGATTACAAGACAGGCTTTACCAAAGGCAGCTTTTACCTAGCTAACTTGATACCCTTTGAAGTGAGGAATTAATGAAGTCCAGCGAGAAATTCTCTTTGGATGCAGTACATATCATCTAGTGTGTTTTTCTTGTCTAGAAAGTCAGTTCAGGTTTTTTTTTTTCCCAATACAGAGCCAAGAAACTATCAAGAAATGAAGAAAATGGAAATTAGTCCTTTATCCTGTTTCTAACAGTCTTTGAAGAGACTATGGAAAGAGGAGCTATTAAAATGATGTCTGACACAGGATTCAATGACTCTCTGAAAGATCACATGGGTAAACAGCAGGGAGGAGAAACTACTTAGCCCAGAGATTTAATGCTGGCACAAGATCAGATGGCTACAGACTGACCACAAACAGATTAAGGCTGGAATTTAGACAAAAGGTGAGAGAATGAGGTTTTTTTTAATATCCTTCCAATAAGAAGAGGGTAGACAAAGGGAAACTTCACCAGTATTAACATGGATCTTGATTAAATTTTTTAACAGTATTACAGGTTATGGTTGCCTGCAATAAACTTAATGGAATGCATAGGAACGGAGAGGACCTTCTCTGCTATACTGTGACATATTAAAACTTGACTCTCTCCTCTCCCACAATATCCTGAACCTCACTCAGACTGAACTACCAAAACACAGACAGACTAGGTATTATAATGTTTCCCAGAATTGTACATGTTACTTCTGACCACAGCAACAGAGATTTCAATGGACTTCTGTCCTGGTTTTGGCTGG